GCTTTATATATCCGAGTTCCAATAACTAGGTTTATATAGACGACTTTTGTCGATCCATACCAAAACCTTCCGCGCACACTCTTTTTCAAACAACTTTAAAACCCAAATTTTATTTGGTGATTTTGGCTTGGGTGTCTATTCACCCCCCCCCCCCCCATCTAGACAAGTCACTGTCGTCTAACACATAGCTTTCTTCGACATTTAAAACTTCTTGCCTAGGAAGTATGACACTTTCCCCATATTTGACATTTCAAATTCCTTCTTCATCAGCTCTTTGAACTTCGACAAGTTTTTCAAGCTATTTCCAGTTACTAGTAAGTCATCGACATATAAGCAGATGATTTTTATATCTTGTACCAAAACCTAAACATAGATACCATACTCAGATTTACATTTGATAAATCCCAATCCAACTAAGTATGAATCAATCTTCTTGTTCCATGCCCTAGGTGTCTGCTTGAGGCCATAGATGGCTTTGTGTAACTTGTATACTTTCCTTGCCTCCTCCAGAATCACAAACTCAGGAGGTTGTGTGACATACACCTCTTCATCTAAAGTTCCATTCAAAAATGCAAATTTCACATTTAAGTGAAATACCGACCAACCTTGATTGCATGCCAAGGCTACCATTAGCCAAATGATTTTCGATCTTGCTATAGGTGTAAATATTACAGAGTAGTCGAGTCCTCCTCGCTGAACAAATCCTAGTGCTACTAATCTCGTCTTATGTATTTCTATCAATCCATCAACATTGTGCTTCAACTTGAACACCCACTTCACTTCAATAGCTTTTGTATTTGTTGGAAATTCGACCAACTCCCATGTGTTGTTTCTTTCGAATGCGTGTAACTCTTTGACCATATCAAACTTCCACTTCATATTCTTTAAAGTCTCGTTATAGTTGATTGGTTCAGCATCTGGAAGTAAATAAAAATGAACTAGTTCTCCATCTGTTGTGACTTCATCATCACCAACCACTTCACAGTCTTGAAGTCTTGTTGGACAAGCTCTAGTTCTTTGAGGTCTCTGTCTTGTCCCAACCATATCCTCTTCAACTTTAATAGTGTCAGGTATGTCAGCAACAACTTCAACATCAACTGGAATATTGACAATATCTTCTACTTTGACATCATTATTTTTTTCATCGAAATCATAGCTCATCAATGGCTTGTCAATTGCATTACTAGAATTCCAGTCCCGGGAAGAAATTTCATCAATCAAAATATCTCGACTAACCATAATCTTTTTATTAATTGGATTGAACAACCCGTATACTCCAATCTTATGATATCCTACCAGAATCATAGGTTCACTTTTATCATAAAGCTCCATTATTCTTGCATTAGGAACATGCTTGTAGCAAATAGAGCCAAACACCTTCATATGACTCACTGATGGTCTTTTTACACTTCACACTTCTTCGGGAACCTTGTTCTTCAGCTTCTTGGTAGGACACCTGTTCATAATATAAACAACATTCGAAACAACTTCACCCCATAAAGACTTTGGCAAATTCTTCTGCTTTAGCATGCATCTCGCCATGTCCAATATGGTCATGTTTCTTCTTTTTGATATTCCATTATGTTGATGATTATAAGGAGAAATTACCTCATGATCAACATCACGTTATGCATAGAATACTTCAAATATCTTAGATGTGTATACGCCACCTTCATTTGTTCGCAGAACTTTGAACTTCTTTTCACCATGGTTTTCGACAAGCATCTTGAATCTCTTGAAGATTTCAAATACTTCATCCTTTCTCTTTATCACATAGATCCATAGCTTTCAACTAAACTCATCGGTAAACGAAATAAATACCTGTTTCCACCAATGGTATGCTCCTCAAAAGGTTCACATACGTCTGAATGTACAACTTCGAGTATGCAGGAGGATCTCATTGGCATAGTCAAAATGAAAGACTTCCTGGATTTCTTTCTGACTAGACAACCTTCACAAATTTTTTCGGGCATCTTAAAACTTGGTATACTAGTTACCATATCTTGAGTGATCAATTGATTGAGTGACCTAAAATTCATATGGCCAAGCCTCAGATGCCACAACCAACTACTTTTATGGTCTGCAACTGTTTTCAGACATTGTACCTCAGTCAAACTGATCATGGTCTTAAATGTTATATTCTTCGACAGAGGAGATTTCTAGACCAAGTTATTTTAGATGTCAAAAAGTTCTAAAGCTCTATCTTTCATAACCACTGAGAACCCCTTTTTGACCAGTTGTCTAACACTTAGCAAATTTCACTTTATTCTAGGGACATAAAGTACATATTTGATCAAGGCTTTTGCTCGATTACTCCTTTGAATAACTATGTTGCCAGTACCTTCAGCTTACAACAAGCTATTATCAGCAAGTTTGACCTTCAACTTGAATCTTGACGTGCAAGGTTCACTCATTCGTCTTTGCCTTTTGTCAATCCCTTGTCTTTCTTGTACCAACAATACTTGTCCAAGTGGCCCCACTTTTCACAATTATAGCATTACACGTATTTTTTCTCTTCTTTGTCTTTCTGATAGGAATTTGCTTCTCCTCTTTTTGAGGATTCAAAAGCTCTATCATCAACCTCATTCTTGTGAGAATTTGACCAAGACTTCTTGCCCTGAGTCTTGTCGATTTTGCCTTTGAACTTGTTGGAACCACCATTCTTCTTCCATGATTGAGCCTGTAGTGCTTGTATCAAGTCTTGAACTTCTTTCCTTTTAACAACCCTAATTTCATACGCCTCTAATGAACCTACCAAATCTTCCAATTTTAGAGTTTTAAGATTGTTAGATTCTTGAATAGCTACATAACGTGATCAAAGTGAGATCAACATACGCATTACCTTCTCAACTATCATCTTATCAGTTATGGTTTCACTACAACCCCTCATGAGATGGACAAGTTTCTGCATCTTCGACACATAACCTGCAATCTTCTCGTTTTCTCCCATCGACAACAATTCATATTGTCGTCGCAAAGTTTACAACTTGACAACCTTGACTTTCTCGCCTCCTTCATAGTATTTGACAAGAATATCTCATGTCTCATTCGCCGATTTAGCATGAGCGATTCTGTTGAAATTAGACGCATCAATCGTTGATTAAATATAAAACGCCGCCTTGCAGTCCTTCTTCTTGACGTCCTTGTGAGCGTTCTCTATGTGTCAGTTGCATCTCCACCAAGCGCAGAAACGACAAGAACACCGTTCGTAACCACTTTCAGGGTTTCATGAAAGCCAATTACAGATTGCATCTGCTTTCTCCATCGAAACCATTTTTTGCCGTCAAGAGTTGGAATGGAGTTTGGTAAATTTCTGTTACCATTCATCTTTGCAACGATTGATCAATAAAAACCCACGATCCCGAAAACACGATCTCTAACGTACACGATCAAGAATCTAACCGAAGTTTTAAATACCAATTTGTTAGTGCGTGAGACACTTTTAGTGAGGAGAGAAAAAGAGAGAATAAGGAAATAAAGATTGTATTATTGAATGGAATGATAATAAAATTGAATTACAAAGTTTCTATTTATATACACCTAAATGACTTCATTACTAAGTAAAATAACAAACTAGGTAACAAAACCTAAACCCTATTTAGTTTTGGGCTTAGGCCACACAACTCAACTTGAATTATATCTAATATCTGAACATTATTTTGACTGTTTAAGAAAATGCTGTATTGTTTAATTCATATTTCCTCTAAATTACTGTTTTTTTCAATTTACAAAAATAAACGGTGGAATTTATATGAAACGAAAACAATGAAACTCGTGATCCAGTTCTCAACTTGAATTATATCTAATATCTCAACACTATTTTGACTGTTTAAGAATATGTTGTATTGTTTAATTCATATTTCCTCTAAATTATTATTATTTTTTCGATTTACAAAAATAAACGGTGGAATTTATATGAAACGAAAACAATGAAACTAGTGATCCAGTTATAAATTATGCAGTGAGTCAATAAAATTTGATAAATTTTGCTTGTTCATATTGCATTAATCATATGAAACGGGAAAAATAAAAATATTGATCTAGTGACTCAATAAAATTTTAATAAATTTTATTTTCTCTTATCGTGGAAATTATATGAAACAGGAACAATGAAACTACTAATCCAATTATGAATTATGAAGTGAGTCAATAAAATTTTAATAAATTTGGTTTGTTCATATTGTGCAAATTATATGGAACGAGAAAAATGAAATTACTTATCTAAATATGTAGTGAGTCAATAAAATTTTAATAAATTTTGCTGGCTAATTTTGTGAATTATATGAAACGGAAAAATGTAACTACGGGTTGAATATGTAGTGAGTCAAATAAGTTTGTTTTCTCATATTATGAAAATTATATGAAACGGAAAAAAAATGAAACTATTAATTCAAATATATACTGAGTCAATAAATTTTATTTTCTCTTATCGTGAAAATGATATGAAAGGAAAAAAATAAAACAATTGATTTAATTATATAATGAGTCAATAAAATTTTAATAAATTTTATTTCTTATATCGTAAAAATCATATGAATCAGAAAAAATAAAACTATTAATTTTAATATTAGATAATAGAAAATTCTCCTATTTTTATTACAGTCTACTAATAAATTGACGATCAAAACCATATCTAACTTACTCGTGTATATACATAGGTTTGTAACTAGTACTATAAGGAAGGTTATAAGGTGGCAAATAAAGTAAATGCACCATAACATAATATTTTAATTTTATACTATATTTGTTAGAAAACAATAGCAGTTAAAGAAACTTCACAACATAACTTAAAAATAACTACATTAATCAGAGAATAGTGCATCTAAAAAGAAGAAAATGTTTGAAAACTTTCAATCTCATTCATTTATATTGTTTGGGCTGAACTCATGCTCTACTACATTATAATTCTGGATGCTTTTGAAAATCTCTAATTAATAGGTATTATCAATATAAACAAATTAATATGTCAGTCACTCATAATTTGTGCAGAATAAAAATCACTATGCAGAATCTTTTCTATGGTAAACAACTTCGGCATGGCTCGACGCTCTCTTGAAACTGATTAATTCTGTCATCAACTCCGGTTTGGCATTTGGTGTAGGCTTCGCAGTCATCCTTTTTAACAAAGGAGAATATAGAAGTAAAAATTTGATAAAATCTAATTCAAATTTGGTGCCAGAGATGTCCTTTATTATAACATATCGCACTCCGAGGGGGACGTTCGGCTCTGAAAAGATATCTTCCCAGCAGTACGATGCGGGTGATAAAAGTCCAGTCTGCTCCTTTTTCAATGCCTACATGCAATTGTTACAAATTCATGGATCAAAAGAGAATATAGTATGGATAGAAGATATAGAGCATATTAATACTAAGAAGATAAACTTATTGTATTGATTGATAAAAGCTGAAAAATGAATCACACTAGACTCTTATTCATAGGACTCTAATGCGCTGATTATGTAACTAACTATATATAAATTGCAACTATTTCATAATTTCCATTAGAAATCGTAACTCGCATGTACAAGTCATAGACACAAACTTCAAAGACTAGACATTTAAGAAGCTTAAAGAAAACACAAACTGCAAGTTACCCAACCACAAATAAAAAAGAAAAGTAAAGTCAAGAAAAATTAAATAAGTACTCACAAACATTACGAACTTTCGAACATTTGGTGAGCTTTTGAGCAAGCAAAGAACAACCGAAATCTCCTTCAAGTCAGTGAAGTTTATGTTTAAGCCAAGAGATAATAGATTCATAAAAGGTGAATGCAGCTTAACTGGAATAACACCTGCAGCCAAATACTGAAACAGAACAAACAAACAGTCTCTGAATTAGAATATTATGTTGTTAATACTTACATATCAATAGTTGCATAGACCTGATTGTGGTTCATGTTAAACTTGTAAGGGTTCAGGGTGGGGAGTTTAAACACACATTAGGCGAGTCACTCATACAATCAAACTCTACATTTAAAAGTTTGAGCATTATACCTTTAAAAAATAATCTGCAATCACTAGGCTCTTAATGTGAGGTCGATGATCGAAAAGTTTGACCAAATTGCTAGAGCACCCATGCAATCTGCGCTGATTGCTTTGAGGGTACAGATAAACATTTAAAGTAACCAATACATTAGTTAACTGAAAACTGTTTTCAAAGCTAATATCCTCAAATTCACCAACGAAGTAAAAAAACTTGAGATTTGGTGCATGAATATTAAACTGGGTTAAACCATCAACTTTTATCAATTTCAATCGTTCAAGCCGGGGGCAGCCGGAAATCAAGTTTTCAAAAGCATTTTGAGCCACTGTTACCAATTTCAGCTCAAGACTTTCCAAGTTCCTAAAGCCTTCAAACGTGATTGGAGGTTTAAGGCAACAATAATATAATTTTAAACGGCGTAGGGTTTGCCAAGAGAATAAGCACCAAGGTATCTTATAGGGTTGCTCCATCAAAATTTTCAGCACAAACTCTTTAATAGACCTTCCAGTTAGATGAAGAATCCACCTATCCATATCAGCCACAAAGTTCACACCAACGATATCATAACAGGACTCGGAGAGCTTGAACTTGTTGATTGGCCCAGAGTGAAGCAAGAGTACATGATCAATAATCCTTATGAACTTGCTATTGATAATTGAAAGGTCTTCGAAAGCGGCAGTAGATACACATTTTCTATGGAACACAAGATCTGGTAGTGTGGACCATTTGTTCCTCCATTTGCTGGATAAAACACTTGTTCTCCCTGCATCCCTAATTGGCAAATGTGAGAGAATCTTGTCTATAAGATGATCCGGCAAGCAAGTAATTCTATCCGACTCCATCTTCGTTATTTTTAGGCAGGTAGACCTTTATCCCCTTAGGGTACATTAACATTGAAACAAAGGGTAGAATCAGAAAGCAAACTAGGTTAGTTTATTTATGTATCTATGTATGCATACAACAAGAATCATAGCTATGTCCAATAAAAGAGAAACTTGTAATAAGGTAACAGTAGTTATTTACATTTCTGAAATCACATTATAAAATGGTGTTGTAACAATCTATGAAGCACGGACACCTTGTAAAATACCCTTGACACTGCGGCGCCGGTAATAATTTGAAAAAATGAGTAAATTAAACATAATCACACGTGTTGATACAGGTGTTCGACATCGACACGGACACGCTTTTTTTCTGAAATCACGTTATAAAATGGTGTTGTAACAATACATTTTGCAAATCCAGATGAAACCTAATCTAAACCTTCTGAAGATCAGATAAACAACTCATACATGAAATTAAATGGAATGCATATTATATTACAAGATTCAACAAGTATTGCATAATCCATGACAGTGAATTCAACCACAAACATAAAATTAATCAATCAAGAAATGATGAATTGCATTGATTATTGAGGTGGAAATGGAAGAACTCACCAAAACTAAAATTGAATTTGGAAATTGAAAGCCTCAAGTGAGAAGATACCGTCGAAGAAGAAGAGGATAGGGTTTTGCTACAAAAGGGTTTACGGATTCACGATGTAACACAAGAATGTGTATTCACTTAACACTTTCATTCGTAGTTTTTCTTGAAATTCAAATTTTTAGAATTTTAGTTTAAAATATATTCAATAAAATTTGACTTTGAATCAATAAATTCCACTTTGTAAGAAAGTGTCCAAAAATAACTTTTGTTAATATCCAATGCAATTTTAGTAGCTTATCTTTTTAATTACAAGTTAAATATACTTTATAACTCAATTCAATGTGACTTATGTATTTATCAAAAAGTACATATGTGCTTAGTATCTCTATTGGATAAGAGATATTTAGAAATCTTAGTAGTTGACGAAGGTTAAGACTTGTTTACGGTAGGGAAAGACCTTGTTTGATGGTGTTTACAGTGATATGAGAAAGTCAACTCACGTGAGGTAAAGGTTCTGTGTATAAGCGTTATGTTGAGTAAAAATGTGATTTGTCTCATACTCTTAAAGGGTCAAATATTTATAGAGGTCTCCGGGCCTAAGATTTAGGAAACACTGAGAAGTGGTAACTGCTCACCTTGATTGGGAGAGACTGTTGACTAGTTATTTTTTAGAGGCAATCGTGATATGACTCAATTTATGTGATCAGTGAGAGATTGATGGATGTACACGTTTATCTTGAGGGCGAGCCCCATCATGTTACACAAAGGTAGTACCCAGACAGCCCCTCACGAGTCGGGGACCCTTGTGTCACCCTTATTTGGGACTCTCAATAATATATATAGTTTCTCAAGCATGTGGGCTTGAAAATGCTAAAGTGTTTCCAGACTTCATTCGAATTTTGCCACGTGATTAGGTTCAAGTCCCTTAACTTGAGGACGAGTCATTTAGCTGAAGGTGACCTTAATAATGAGAGGTGAGTCATTTACCTTATGGGTCGGTCCTTATGAGTGTTTTGCATAATCTCTTTATGGTCATCTTAGGCCTTAGACTAGTGTTGACCTCTAGGTGTTTTACATCATTTTGCTCCACAAACACTTAAAAGTTTACTACAAGGTTAGTACGAAAATAAACTGACTATGCAATTAATAAATCACTTACTAAAGAATCAATCAAAGTTTTCTAATTTTTCAATCTCTATTAAGTGTACTACCTCAAGGTCTCAAGTTAAATTGAGAAACTTCCCCTGACAAGCCATCATGGATTTTCTTTCTCTAAGAATCATTTGATATGAAAGTTGGTCCAATTATAGGACTGATAAATCCATCACCTTAATCTCTCGTGATCAACATCATCATTTTTATCAATTCAATTTAAAGATATAATCAACATCTTGATTAAGTCCGTCAGGGTTGACAACCACTTCTTCTTGTAATCTTAAAAGGGTCTTACCATATTTTAATCTACATCATAACATAAACATCCTTGCACAAGGATTCTTTAGTAGCATCGAATATACAAAAAATCATGCACAAGAAAGGTAAGCTCTATTTAAAAAATATTTGTATCATCCTTCTTTGAAATTTGTTTTCAAGCAGAAAATTTCTCGGACTATTGAACCAATCTCTATGAGATTGTCTTAGATCGTAGAGACCCATTTTCATTTTAAAAACATGAGTAAGAAGAGTTTTACAAAATTAGGATAATGATAAACATGCACTTCCTTATGGATGTAACCGTTCAAAAATGCATTCTTTACATTCATTTGGAAGATTTTACGAAAACACATGAGAGAGCTAGAATCATCCTTATGGATTCTAGTTGAGGTACATGAGCATAAGTTTTATTGAGATATATCTTTTGTAATGAGTCTTGTTTTTAAAAAGAAACTCCATCAACCTTGTTACGAAAGATTCACTAAGGTTCCAATAACTCAAATAACTTTGAGAAGAGTTTCCAATTGTTGTTTCTCTTAATGGAAGATTAACAGAGTCCTCGTAGACTAATGAAGATCTGCAGACATTCTATATCGGGGGGCATTTGAAAGACTTCACCTCGAATCAGAGGGCCTAAATCCCTTCAAGGTTTTGCTTATTGGATTCTTTGGGGAGCGAGTACAAGTAAAGGGATATATCACGTTGAAGACCACTTTTGAAGAGTAGGACCAAGCCAAAAAAAACAAAGATCGGGTATTTGGTTATTGACGCCCCTCTTCTTACAATATGATATATGGATACCAACTTTCAACTAGATGGGTGTCGCCTTATCAACTATGTTTTTATGCATGAAGTACCCATTCCCGAACGTGCGAGTGGGATTATCCATGGAGATTAGGATATCGTCAGAAAATGTTATATGGAGAGCCTTAAATTGAAAAAGGGTCCGCACGCTGGGCATAAAAGCTAGGAAAGTGGGCTCATGTTTAAAGCCAACTGGAGGAACTTACAAAGACAGAGGGCTCCCCCTATAACTATTGAAGAGATCTAAGATTGAAGCCATTGATGGAATGCCATCTAAAGCAACCTGCATTATTGTCGTGTATTTTCTTTCCTTTATCGATGTTTAGCTATTTTGTTATTGATTTCTATATGCGAGTATTACATTTCTAACGATTGTAAAGGACAAGCTATTTAATTGGGTGCATTTTTATTAGAAAAATTGTATTTGCTGGCTATTCCTTTATTTGCATGAAACCTAAAAGCTCAAGAAAAGAGCGCCCGATAAGGGGATTAAGATGTTGAATCCTTATGTGGAATCCATGTCGTCCATAGAGGTGATCAAATTGTTGGATCCTTAAATGGGTTTCTTGCCACCCTATAGGCGATTAAAATGTTGGATCCCTAAATTAGATCATTGTTGCTCAAAGATGTTGTCAATATGCTAGATCCTTAAATGGGGTCCTTGTCGCCCATAGAGGCGATCAAAATGATGGATCCTTAAGTGAGATCCTTGTTGTCCATAGAGGTGATCAAAATTTTGGACGCCTAAGTGGATCCCCTGTCGCTCATATAGGTTATCAAAATGATAGATCTTGAAATGGGATCTTTGTCGCCCTTAAAGGCGATCAAGATGTCAGTTCCTTAAGCGAGATCTTTTTCGCACATAGAGGTGATCAAATCATTGGATACTTAAATGGGATCCTTTCCGCCTATAAAGGAGGTCAAGATTCTAGATCCCTATGTAGGATCCTTGTCGCCCACAGAGGCGATCAAAACGTTGGATCCTTAAGTGCGATCAGTGTCGCCCATAAAGACGACCAAGATGTTGAATCCTTAAGCAAGATTCTTTCCGCCCATAGAGGATATTAATCGTTGGATCCTTAAGCAAAATCCTTTATGTCCATAGTGGCGATCAAACGTTGGATCCTTGAATGGGATCTTTGTTTCTCATAGAGACGATCAAAATGTTAGATGCATAAGTGAAATTCTTGCCGCCCATAGAGACAATCAAAACGTTGGATCCTTAAATCAGATCTTGTCGCCCATAGACGCCATCAAGATGTTGGATCCTTAAGTGGGATCCTTGTCTCCTATAAAGGCAATTAAATCGCTGGATCCTTAAGTGGGATCCTTGTCGCCCATATACGTGATCAAATTGTTGGATCCTTCAATGGGATCCTCGCAGACCTTATAGGAGATCAAGAATATGGATCCCTTGGTGGAACCCTTGCATCCCATATAGGCTATCAAAATGATGAATCTCTTACTGAGATCCTTGTCGCCCATATAGAAGATCAAAATACTGAATCCCTAAATGGGATATTTTCCCCCACATAGGCAATCAAAATGTTGGATCCCTAAGCGAGATCCATACCGCTCATAGAGGCAACCAAAATGCCTTGTCCCTAAACAAGATTCTTACCACCCCTTGGGAGGGTTAATACTCCTTGAAATACATAAATAAAGATTAAACTAATGGCATTTAACAAGGAAGCACTCGGTGTTACAAAAAGTACTATTTTACAAAAATATCAAAGAATGATGATCTACTCATCGTCCACTAGTTGGTTGTTCTGAACCACTTGAAAGGGATCCATTAGGCTTAAATCCATATCAAGATAAAGGAAAGCGACATATTTTCTCGACGTCTCAAAATGATGGGCGAAGAATGGCACGACTTCATCCTTGAGTGTTGCGAGCCCTCTTAAATGACTTATTTAGACTTCCTGCCTTTTCAAACTGGGAGAGAGAGAATGGCCATTTCCTTGGTAAGTGCCTTTACAACATCCCATATTGAGGTTTCACACTGTCTAGGTGCACCTTCAATAACTACATTCTAGGGAAGGGGCAGGGGAAAGCTCTTTCGTTGTTATGTCATCTGCATCTTAACCAAGCACTCTCTTGTCTCATCAAGGGGGTCTCCGCCATTTCCCTTATGGATAAAAGAATGTTGTTTAGGTATACAAAGTAATAAATA